CTTGGCGCGCGGGGGGGCCCACGGCGGCGGCAGCGGCGACGCCGACGGCGGCGGCGGCGATCGGCGCCGTCGGGCGGTCGTCGTCCCCGCCGCTTCCGTCGCCGATCGTCGCCCGATGGGCGATCGTCGTCGTCGTCGTCCAATCGTCGTGAACTCTCGGGCGTGGCCGACCGCCGTCGCCGACCGTCGACTCGACGATCGGCGATCGGCGACGACCCAAATCTCCGGCGATATGATGTTTTGAGCCGCGGCGTTTCCCTGTCACTCCGGCCTTCCGGGGGCCGAATGGGGCCCCGGGGGGTTGGGAGCAGATCCTGGGTAAGAAACTTGCCCCTGGGATTAGGTCGGGCAGGACCCCCTACAGGCGGATTTTGGACGAACAATTAAAAATATGAAAAACATTCGAAAATGGTAAACATAGAAGAACAACAACTGTTTTCCGAAGATTTTTGAATATTCTTCCTGCAGAGGAACACGCCCGACTGAACCCTGGGAAAGGGGTCGGGGCCTTTTCTTAGATCGGCGCGGGGAATGCCGAGGGGATCGGTGGGTTAGACGTGGACTGGAGTGTGGTCTATATCTGGCCCAGCCCAGCTTGCAAGTGGGTCGCAAGTGCCCTGAGCGACAGCAGCCCGAGCAGGCCCTGCTGGCTGCCAGAGGCCCTGTAGCAGGAGGAGGAGGAGGAGGAGGAGGAGGAGGAGGAGGAGGAACTCCTCCCGGGCGGGGCCCCGCGCTTGCCCTCGCCCTGCTCTCCTGCAGAGAACGCGGCGCATATCTAAACTCTCACTTGTCCGGAGGTCCTCCAGAAGGCGCCCAGGAGGCCCCAAAAAGGCCCCAAGAGGCCCCCAAGCTAGAGGCCCCCAAGACGACCCAAGAGGCCCCCAAGAGGCCCAAAAGAGGCCCCCAAGGGGCCCAAAAACGGCCCCCAAGAGGCCCCCAAACTCGGCTAGCCCACAACGGTGCGACAATATGGGCCGGCGGAATGAGCGAAGCGATTAAATATAAACTCTCAATTGTCCGAAGGTCCTGGAATTTCTCGCGGCCTGGGCCCCAAACTCTCCGGAAAGAGGGGGCGTAACTTGTTCCTCAACTGTGTCCCTTCTCCTCCTCTTCCTCCTCCTCTTCCACCTCTTCCTCGTCTTCCTCCTCCTGATTCCTGACTCCTGTCGGCTACGCGGTCGTGAACCCCCCGTGTTGGGGCGACATTTGAGTCTGTGGCGTGCGCTGGTTTCTCCGCGCGAAAACATGTTTTTCGCGCGGCGTCTCATGGCGCGAGCTTGCTCTCGTGCGCGGTTTTATCGCGCGTTCGAATATATCAAGTCGAGCAATACAAGCCGTATTTGTACGCATGTGCTTACTACCACGATACATCGGTCGTGCTCGTGCGGTTGCTCATTGTCCTACACCTCATTGCCCTACACCTCCTCCTGACAGTGTGTCCTGCTCATGATTATCCTGCTCCAAATTTGTGATGCATCTGATGAATCCGCGGCGCTGCTGTTTCTCGGTGCGCGCACTTGTTTTTCGCGCCGAGGCCCCGCCGCAAACGCGCATGTTTCTAGGGGGAAAACAAATCTACCTCGCTTTTGACCACCCTCGCTTCCAAGATATACCAAGCGATGCCAAACTACGGCCTGTACTGGTCAGGCCACTTGACGAGGAGGCGCGTGGTATGACTTGGTTTTGCCTGGAAGCGAAAGCGGGGTAGGTAATTCACGCTCTGAGTTTCTGCCTGTGTCAAGCTCGCGGAATACTGTCTAATGCACGGACAAGCCAATGCCCCTTAACATATTCAAAGACTCACGCAAGCCCACTCTGCTCATTGGTCCGTCAGCCGAAGCGCAAGGCGCTCAAGCGGGAAATGGCGGAGTCGGCGCGAACCCGTGGCTTCTCTGCTCACGTGCCCGCCTGGCACCGGGAACGGACCTCGGCAATGGTGGCCCAAAACCTTTTCCGCGACGCCCCCCGAAGAAATTGAGACCGAAATGCATGCCCGCGGCTTCGCTGCTCTCCTGCCTGCTGGATACTGGGAAAAGATATAAACAATGCGTGCCTGCATCCGTTGCGCGCCGCCACGCGACGAACTTTGGGCCCGACGTGAGGGCTGATGGCGTCGCTGCTCGGCGTGCTCGCCGACGGCCTCGCTGCTCCCCTGCCCGCCTGGCACTGGGAACGTTCGTCCTGGCGCCGCCCCGCCCACCAGACTTGGTTTTTTTTGAAGTTACATCCGCGCCTCGACAATCTGTCTACCCAGATGGTTCTGCTTGCCCAGATCGGACCTCTGTCGGGTGCGGGACTTCCTATTACACTGGCATGATCAATCAACGCGCGCGCGCCTTATAACGATGCAACGCCCCGCGCGCATCGATCTGCGACGCGTTGCACAAATGCCGCAGTAGTTGCTCCGCGAGCCGTGCATGCCGCTGCCCTCAGCGTCGTTCCTTCTCCTCCTCCTCATCATCACCATTATCATTATCCCTCATCCTCCTCCGCACCATCATCACCATCCTCATCACCATCCTCATCATCAACATCATCGCCATCTGTACCCCTCCTCCCCAATGCTCCCCCCTTTTCCTTCTCGTCCTCCTCTGCCTCCTCCTCCTCCTCCTCATCACCATCGTACGCCATCATCATGCGCCATCCTCCTCCTCCTCATCATCATCTTCATACGCCATCATTGCTGTCACCATCAAGCACAACATCATCAACACCCCGCCTCCTCCCCCTCCTCTCCCTCATCGTCGTCACCACCATCATCACTGTCCCCCCCCTTCTCCCCATTAGTATTGTCATCATCATCCTCGCCATCATCATCGTCACCATCATCACCACCATCACCATCACCATCACCATCACCATCATCATCATCACCATCATCATCATCATCATCATCATCACCATCATCATGATCATCATCATCATCACCATCATCATGATCATCATCATCATCATCATCATCATCATCATGATCATCATCATCATCATCATCATCATCATCATCATCATCATCATCATCATCATCATCATCCTCCGCATCATTATCATCCTCCGCATCATCATCATCGTTCATCCCCTGAGTCCTCCTCCTCATCGTCACCATCACCATCAACTCTTCCCGTCCTCTTCCTCGCCATCATCACAATCTTCGCACTCCCTCATCGTCCACGTCCACACCATCCATCCTCCTTCCCCTCCTCCTTCTTCTCATTATCAAAATCGCTATCGTCATGATTGTCGTCGTCATCCTCATCATCCTCATCATCCTCATCATCATCATCAGCATCATCATCATCATCATCGTCATCGTCATCGTCATCGTCATCGTCATCGTCATCGTCATCATCCCTGACTTTCTCCGCACCATCACCACCAACCTCATTATCCTCATCCCCATTATCCTCATCCTCATCCTCATCCGCATCCTCATCATACGTCGTCACCCTCGTCATCTTCAGCGTGAACGCCAACAACATCATCACCCCGCCTACTCCCCCTCCTCCCCTGCATCGTCATCATCGACATATCTCCTCCTCATCCTCATCAGCATCGCCATCATCATGGCCACTCGTCATCCTCGTCCTCTGCCTCATCATCACCATCATCCTCATCGTCATCATCAGCATCGTCCCTCCTGGTACTCGCCCTCGTCATCATCATCACCATCAGTTTCTCATCATCGCCACCATCACCATCACCATCACCATCATCATCATCATCATCATCATCATCACCCTAATCGTCAGCACCGTCGTCATCATCACCATCGTCACCATCCCTCCTTCTCCTCCTCCTCCCCTGCTCCCCCTCTTCCTCTTCGCTTCCCAAGTCAGGAAGGGGGGTGTGGAGGAGGGGGACGTAGTGGAGAGGAAAGGGCCCGTGCACTGACACATCAGACACGGAGAATCAGAGTACAATCAGAAAAAGGAACACCACATAATCAAACATAAGAAGTCATCCATACGGTAAAACCAGTCATGGACCCATACGATCAGAAACAATAACATGCAACATCTACACAACTCACATCAGCAGCAGCCGTCTTGGGCCCGCAAACCTTGTGAGGGTACCAACAACACCTTAACCAGATATGAAGGTACCACAAACATGGTTTTCGCGCCTTCTGACTTCCTATGGCCCTCTTCTAACCAAGATCTGCGTAATCGAAATAATACAAACGCCATGCAAACAAAAACAATACGACATCCGTAAAGCCAAACCAAGAAGAGGTCCATGCAACCAACAACCATCAAACACCCATACCATCAAAACAAAACTACAGCCGTACATTCAACAAACAATAAGGACACGTCTCGGGCCCCAGAAAACAAAACAACAACGAACCTTGGGGGATGGGGGGGGTACCAAAACAAAACAACAAAAACGTGTGAGGGTACCCACAAAGAAACCTTAACACACATCAATGGTTTTCGTGCCTCCAGGCTGACTGGGCGGATATGGGCGGGAAGGGTCCCGAGGAAACCCGACGGCACAAACACCATTGATGTTTGGTTTTCTTGTTGCCCTCGCAAGTTGTTTTGTTTGTTTGTTATGTGTGCGTTGTTTTGAATTGTGTTGGGTGTTTTTTTGTGTCTTTGGTGCCCTCACAGGATTCGTGCGTCCAAGGCGTCTTCCTATTGTTTTGATGTTATGGTTGTGTTTTGATTGTATGTGGGTTTCTGACTCTATCTTAAATGTATGGACTCATGAGTGTTTTTGATTGTGCGGGGTTCGTCCTGTTTTTGTCTGCATGCATTTCCTATTGTTCTTGATCGCGTGGATTAGGGGCCGGATGGGGCCCAGAAGTCCGAATTCACGACCACCATAGATCTTTTTGGTGCCTTCACTTGCTGTTGTTATTATTGTTGAATGCTAATATCTAGACAGTGCTTATTGTTGGACACCTTAAAGGCGCTCTGGCGCTCTCGCCGAAGCGCCGGCTACATTTTCATTGAAAATGAGGATCACGCTCGAGCGGTTTGGGGGACCGCCCAAACCGG